TAATAATTTGAAGAAGACATGTTTTTGTGAACCAGATTCGTGTGTATAAGTGAGAGGATGAGAATATTGAGTGAATGAAAGGAGAGGAGGGGTGCTTGTATTTATAGATGAAATTCTGCCGACGATTCCGACGAAATTCCGACGGAAAACTAGTATTCCGTCGGAATTTCGTCGGAATATACAACGGTCATAAATATTCTTCGGAATTCCGTCGGAATATTCCGATGAAATTCCGAGGAAAATGAAAATCCTCGGAATTTTCGAACTTTTCCAACGGCTCGTCAACGGCTATAATTTATCCTCGGAATTTCCTCGGTTTATCCCGACGGAATATAGGTTCCTCGGAATGTCGTCGGAATATTCTGACGGAATTCCGAGGAAACATAAAATTTGTGTTTCGTCGGAATTCCATCGGAATCCCATCGGAATTTTCCGAGGAACTGCGTGGCCGTCGGAATTTTCCGAGGAATAAGCCCTGTTTTCTTGTAGTGACTCTCGGTAGGCTTAATTCCCTTGAGTACTTATCTCTGTTTGATAACAACTTTGAAGGCCTATTCTCATTTGGTTCTATAATCAACCTCTCAAAGCTTAAGGTGTTAAAACTTTACTCAAAATCCAACTCACTTCAAATAAATTTGGAAACTTCTTGGAAGCCAATATTTAATTTGAGTGTTATTGTACTAAGATCTTGCAAGTTGAAGAAAGTGCCTCATTTTCTCCTACATCAGAAGGAACTGCGTCAAGTTGATCTGTCTCATAATTAAATATCTGAAAATTTCCCTTCCTGGTTGTTGACTAACAATACAAAACTAGAAATATTGCTTCTACAGAATAATTCTTTACAAGTTTTAAGCTACCAGAATCTGCTCATTATCTGCTTTTCTTGGATGTGTCAGTGAATGACTTCGATCATAACTTTCCTGTTAACATTGGGTGGATACTTCCTTCTTTACGATATATAAATATAGCCCTGTTCGGGGCATGATCGCCGCGTCTAGCGCAGCGACACAAAAGTCCATGTAATTTTGTTGCTTTAACTCGAGATTGCAGAGAAAGCACTGACGACAGCGTTAAAAATCAGAGACGCAGCGGCAACTTTCGGAAAAGAATCGACCGTTAAAAAATCTAGCGTCAGTTACGATTTAAATCGCGTCAGCTACAACTCATACTGGTGACTACTGTAACTCATACCGGTGGCGCTTTTTACCTCACCACCACTGTCCGCATGTTTTATTTCTAGCCGCTGACGTTAGACGCCGCGATCATGCGCCGAACAAGGCTTATATCGAATAACGGTTTTCATGGAGATCTTCCATCTTCTCTAGGTAATATGAAAGGTCTTGAGTTTCTTGATATATCTCACAACAGTTTCCTCGGGGAGCTACCAAGAAGTTTTATACAAGGTTGTTATTCAGTGAGTATTTCGAAGATGTCACATAACAAACTAAGTGGAGAGGTTTTGTCAATATCAACAAACTTTACTGATATAGTGGTGCTGTTAATGGATAGCAATCAATTTACAGGAAAGATCGGTCAAGGTTTGCGGAACATGCAACACTTGTTACTACTTGACATTTCAAACAATAGTCTTTCAGGTGTTATTCCAAATTGGATTGGTGAACTTCATCTAAGTGCACTATTGATTTCAAACAATCAGCTGGAAGGTGAAATACCTATTTCTTTGTTCAACATATCCAGTTTACAAATGGTGGATCTCTCTGCAAGTACCTTATATGGAGACATACCTCCACACGTAAATTCAACAAACGAAGTAGTGTTACTCCTACAAGACAACCATTTATCAGGAGCTATTCCGGATACACTCCTATTAAATGTCAGTATACTTGATCTGAGAAATAACAGATTGTCCGGCAATATTCCGGAGTTCATCAACACCAAAAACATCAGTATTCTTCTTCTGCGGGAGAATAATTTAACAGGTCTTATACCTCAAAAATTGTGTAGCCTAAGAGGCATTTACCTTTTGGATCTATCTAACAACAGACTGAATGGATCCATACCTTCATGTCTTAGAAATATATCATTTGGTTTGAAGAAACAGGATACATCAAATGGCTATGGTTTCACATTTGGTTACATTCCTAGTGATGTCTTCACTAGCTTCATGCGGGAACAAGATGCTAGCTCTGCCGAGAATATTGGTATATATTTCAAATCTCTGCTTGTGCTTGATCCTTTTAGTATAGATTACTTTGCAGGCGCTCAGATAAAAATTGAATTTGCAACAAAACACCGATATGATACTTACATGGGTGGAAATCTTCTAGGCTTTTCTGGATTAGACCTCTCAGTAAATGAGCTAAGCGGTGAGATCCCAGTGGAGGTAGGAAGTCTTGTGGAACTACATGCTCTAAACTTCTCTCACAACTCTTTATCAGGTTTGATACCAACAAGTTTTTCAGGTATGAAGAAAGTGGAAAGCCTTGATCTGTCTTTCAATAGACTGCAAGGCCAGATCCCAACACAACTGACAGATCTGAACAGCCTAGCTGTGTTCAATGTCTCATTCAACAACTTATCAAGAGTCATTCCTCTGGGAAAACAGTTTAACACCTTTGATACGGGGAGCTACTTAGGTAATCATCTTCTCTGTGGGAAACCAACCAACATAAGCTGCAATGGTAATAACTTTCAAGAACCAGAAAATAATGAAGTGAGAGCTGATGATTCCACTATCGACATGTTATCTTTCTACTGGAGTTTTACTGCAGCCTATGTAATAATACTTCTTGGAATATTCAAATCACTCTCTTTTGATTCTCGCTGGAGCAGAGCTTGGTTCTTCGTCGTTGATGCTTTCATCCACAAGGTGAGGAACTTTTGATGGTAAACTATTGCTGGTGCCATATCATTTTTCATTTTTTGCTGATTTTCTTCATAAAACCTCTTAGCTCTTGTTTTTGTGTCATCAAACCAAAGAACAGCTTGTGTTTGGTTCTTGTGTATTGTCTTGTCTATCTTTGTATACTTCTAAGTAGTATGTGATGTGGATTGTAATTTCCATGGATATTGGGTACTATGTCTGCACTGATTTGGGTCAAAATTATTGACCCTTAGAATAAAACCTATAGATCCATTACCAACATGTTGGTCTCCTTTGGGAGTACTGTTTCAGTTAATGTGGTTGTTGTGATGATAGGCATTCTTGTACTTATGTACATCGATTGTCCTTGGTGTCAGGCATGGCTTCGCCTTGTCAGTGCTTTCATGGCCTCTGCGAAAAGTATGTTGTCTTAGAATTATTTTAGATCAGTTCTCAGATATTCCTCATCAAGGAAAAATAAGCTTGAATACGTATTTTTGGAATATTTTTGTCATATAAACATATATTTAATGAAATGAAATGGAAGTAGAGTGGCCACAATCGACATGGTATATTTCTACTGGAGTTTAGCTGAAGCTTATGTAACTATACTTCTTGGAAGTAGAGGAGTCCAACAATCGACATGGAGTTTTGACTCTCCTTGGAGCAGATTTTGGTTCTACATCGTTGATGCTTTTATTCACAAGGTCAGGAATTTTCTGTGGTGAAATTAACATTGGTTCAAATCCATTGATGGTCTCCATCTGATGTTTCTTCTTCTCAAACCCTCCTGTTTTTATGTCACAAACTTGTATTTAGTTTATTTGTACTGTCTGTCTTTGAATGAGCATAGAGCATATGAGGTTAGCAAAGCAAGAAAAAGACCAGAGAGCCACTTCAGCAACTCCGTGACTGTTGGGCATTTCCACAAGTATAATGGTAAATTATAAGTTTTCAGTTTTCACTCAGTGCTTGAATTTTTTGTATATGGAGGAAAAAATATTTCTGCTGCAATTTCATATTTTTATTGGTGAGAGGATAGCATCTAATAATCTATCCATCACGAGATTCAGTTCTTCGGTTGGGTGTAAACAGTCACAGCCATATGATATATTAAAACTTAATCGATGTAAAGAGAGGCTAGGCTGACCACACATTTTCTTGATTTCATTATCTTTCAACCAAATTTTTTGTTAACTTGTTTTTTGGTAAATGAGTCTTCTCTACAAAGACCTTGACTTTTCTTTTCATGCAATTATAAGTAAACGATAGCGATCGATCACTTAACGTATGGCATTAAAGTTAGGGCTGGGCAAAATATCCGTAAATTTTGATTCGATTCGTTATCCGTTTCGATTCGAACCGAAAAATCCGGATATCCGTAACTCTACGAATCAAAGCAAATACTAAAATGTGATATCCGTAAGAAACGAAGTAAATCACCAATACTAAAGTTTTTAGGAACGAATATCAGATTCGATCCGTTATATACCTATATATACATATATATATTTTTAAAGTATATATAGAAGTTATATAAAGATTATATTTTATTTAGTTTTTACAAGATTTTATTTACTAAATTTATTATATTAATTCTTAGAATTTTAAAAATTAAATAAATTGTATTTTGTAATAAAATATTAATTATTTTATATTATTTTGAATTTTTTATTTTTTTAAATTTTTTATTATTTTTTTACGGATCGAATCGAATATCCGGTAAAATTTTAAAAATTTCCGGATATTCGGAGCAGCGAATATCCGAATGGCTACGGATCGAATCGAATTAGATAATTGATTATTCAGACGAAACGGATCGGATCACGAATACCTCCTAATACCCGAATATTTGCTTCGTGCCCACCCCTAATTAAAGTGTTATCGTTACCAGAGACTTGAATTTCTAATTGTAAAAACCCTTTTTATATATAACGGTGTAGGTAGGCATTAGCATTGAACTCACAATCATAATTAAAAAAATGGAGGGTAAGGTGTTATTGAGAAAATACTTGATATGGGTGATATTGCCGTTGGGGCAGCTACATGGATACAAAAGCTGTGTTGAAAAGGAAAAGAAGGCTTTGTTGGAGCTCAAGCAATACTTAATCTCCAGAGAAGAGGAGTTTGACTATGTTCTCCCTACTTGGACTTACGACACAGAGAGCGATTGCTGCATTTGGGAAGGAGTTAAGTGCAATCGTACAAGCAAAAGGGTGACCGAGATTTCCTTTGGAGAACTGTACCTCAAAGGAAATTCTCTCCTAAATCTTTCTTTGCTGCATCCCTTTGAAGATGTTCGTAGTCTGAACTTATCCTGGAACAGATTCAATGGCTTGTTTGATGATGTTGAAGGTAGTCATTCAACTGGTTTTCCATTGGAACTTCTTATATTCACCCTAAACGGTTATCTTGTGGTTAGTTTGATCATATTGTTTTGCATTGGAACTTCTTATATTTTCCCTTTGTTAGGGTTCTATATATCCTTAACGAACCTATGATATGGAGTAAATGTTACCTTATTGTTTAACATTTTATAACTTTTTTTTTGATATTATGGTATTTGGATTCCCTGTTTCTGAACAGAGTTGCTCATGTCTGTGTGCTATTTTGTGTGTTACAGTCACGTAAAACTATAATAACTGAATGAGGTAACGTTTTTATTATTATATCATTATATGCTTAGCAAAGACTCTGGTCTGCAGGTTATAAAAGCCTAGGGAGATTAAGAAACCTGGAGATTCTGAATCTCACTTTTAATCGTTTCAACAACAGCATCTTTCCCTTTCTTAATTCCGCTACATCACTTAAAACTCTTTTACTTGGGAATAATGACTTGGATGGCCCTTTTCCTGCTAAAGGTAATTTTAATTTCCATTAGTAAGTAAGTGGATACACATGATATCATCTGTGGTGTAATTGTCGTATATGTAATATTTCTCATAGTTTGTAATGCATAATTAAACAGTGTTAAACAAAAAACTAAGTGGATACACAAGATGACCTTATTATTGATGATGTCTATGTTATAGTTAGTTTGTGACTTTAAGTCGGTATATCTGTTGGATTCTCTTTCAGAACTTAAAGATTTGACAAACTTGGAAATGCTGGACCTGAGTCTAAACCATTTTCAAGGCCCCCTAGAAGTACAAGGTATCTCAGAGATTTTAGTTGACTTAATGGCTGCATGTAACACTGGTTCGTGTAATCTTTAAAATCATGCTGTTCGCAATATGAAGGTGCTTACATTTGTGTTGACTTTTTCAGATTTATCTGCCCTGAGGATGCTGAAATCTCTGGACCTAAGCTGGAATAGATTTTATGGAAAAATGGGATTGCAAGGCAAGTTTGTTCTAATGTTTAGCAAGATGCTCGTTTACATTTATCTAAAATAAAAGGGTCTCGTTTGCAGGCTATAAGAGCTTAAGAAACTTGGAGATCATGTATCTCCATGGAAATGGATTAAACAACAGCGTATTTCCCTTTCTAAATTCTGCTACATCACTCAAGACTCTGTTTCTTAGGTACAACAACTTGGATGGCCCTTTTCCAGCTGAAGGTGTGTTTTTCCATTTCTATCTATCATCATGGGCCTATTTCTTGGTGACATAGTTCTCCTGTTAATTTGTAAGCTTCTTGTTTTATGTTGGACACCTTTCAGAACTCAAAGATTTGACAAACTTGGAACTGCTGGACCTGAGTAGGAACAAATTTAATGGCTCCATACCAATACGAGGTAGCTCAAAAGTACTGTCCATATATATATACAACATATTTTCTTGAGATTATCATGTTCATAGGAAAAATTGTTTTCTTTGCGTGGTTTTTTCTTGTGGCAGTGTTACCTGCCCTGAGAAATCTTAAAGCTTTGGATCTAAGTGGTAATGAGTTTTCTGCATCAATGGGATTGCAAGGCAAGTCTAAACATATCTTACGTTGTTGCACTAAAACTGGTGGTGAAATAATGTTTACTCATGTGTATGTAAATTTTCATTTGATGCAGGGATTTGTGATATGAAGAATATGCAAGAGCTTGATCTCAGTCGAAACAAACTTGTAGGTCAGTTTCCTTTATGCTTAACTGGCCTAACTGAACTTCAAGTTCTTGATCTCTCATCAAACCAATTGACTGGAAAAGTTCCATCTACTCTCGGAAGCCTTAAATCCCTCAAGTACTTATCATTGTTAGATAACAACTTTGAAGGATTCTTCTCACTTGGTTCGCTTGCCAATCTATCAGAGCTGAGGTTTTTCCAACTTAATTCAAAATCCAAATCACTTCAAGTAGAGTCTGAAGGTTCTTGGATTCCGAAATTTCAACTGGTTGTTATTGTACTCCAATCTTGCAACTTGGTGAAGGTTCCCCATTTTCTCCTATACCAAAAAGAATTGGTTCGCGTTGCTCTTTCTGACAACAAAATATCTGGAGATTTTCCTCACTGGCTATTGGCAAACAATACGAAACTCGAAGTTTTGTTTCTACAAAATAATTCGTTTACAAGCTTTCAGTTACAAGAGTCTGCTCACAGTCTGCTTTTCCTGGATGTGTCAGCCAATGACTTCAATCATTTGCTTCCTGAGAATATCGGGTGGGTACTTCCTCATGTAAAGCATATGAAACTAGGTGAAAACAGTTTTCAAGGATGTTTGCCATCTTCTCTAGGTAACATGAAAAAGATTTCATATCTGGATCTATCTCACAACAACTTCCATGGGACGTTGCCAAGAAGTTTTGTAATGGGTTGTTATTCCATGAGCATCTTGAAACTTTCATATAACAAACTAAGTGAAGAGGTGTTTCCGGAATCAGCTAACCTCACTCTTATATCAGAGCTGTACATGGATAACAATCTGTTTACAGGTAAGATTGGTCAAGGTTTGCGGAACTTGGAAGACTTGGAACTGCTTGACCTTTCAAACAATAATCTCACGGGTGTTGTTCCGAGCTGGATTGGCAATTTTAGATACTTGAACACACTACTACTTTCAAATAACTCGCTGGAAGGTGAAATACCTATTTCTTTGTTCAACTTAACTAATCTTGAGCTGTTGGACCTCTCCGCAAATATTTTATCTGGAGGCATACCTCCACACATCATTTCGAGAAGGGATGTAATATTACTCCTTCAAGATAATAAATTATCAGGTGTTATTCCAGATACACTGGTAACTGATAATGTCTCTGTTCTTGATCTACGAAATAATGGATTGTCTGGGAATATTCCGGCTTTCACCAACACCCAAGGCACCAATACTATTCTTCTTCGGGGGAATAATTTAACAGGGAGTATTCCTCACCAGTTGTGTGGTCTAAGAAACATCCAACTTCTTGATCTTGCCAATAACAGGCTGAATGGATCCATACCTCCATGCTTCAGCAATACATCATTTGCTTTTGGGAAAGTGAATACATTATATGATTACGGCACGGTGACCAGCGGTGTTACTTCGTTCACTGGTGTTTCTGAAGAGTACCGTGTAGAATCAGAGTTTGTATATCTCAAACCTTCTATTGTGCTGAATCCGTTTATTGTGGATTATATGCCAATCACCCAGATTAAAATTGAATTTGCTACAAAACACCGGTATGATACCTACCTGGGAGGAAATCTCAAATTATTGTATGGAATAGATCTCTCAGATAATGAGCTGAGTGGTTATATCCCAGCAGAGCTTGGAGGTCTTTTGGAGCTACAAGCTCTTAATCTTTCTCACAACAAGTTATCAGGATTGATACCAGAAAGCTTTTCAGGTCTGAAGAATGTGGAAAGCCTTGATCTCTCCTTCAACAGGTTACAAGGTCGGATCCCATCACAACTAACAGAGCTGAGCAGCCTAGCTGTTTTCAACGTCTCATTCAACAACTTGTCTGGAGTCATTCCACAGGGAAAACAGTTTAACACCTTTGATGGACAAAGCTACTTAGGCAATCCTCTTCTTTGTGGACAATCAATCAACACAAGCTGCGACAACAGTCACTATCAAGAATCAGAAAATGGTGTAAAGGCTGATGAGAGCAAAATCGACATGGTATCTTTCTACTGGAGTTTAGCGGCAGCTTATGTGACTATACTTGTTGGAATATTCTCCTCTCTCTCTTTTGACTCTCCCTGGAGCAGATTTTGGTTCTACCTCGTCGATGCTTTCATTCAAAAGGCCAAGAGTTTGTTGTGGTAAAACTATCGTTGGGGTTGGGGGTGCCAAGTCTATTCTTCTCTTCTCAGAACCTCCTGGTTTGTTTCACATAAAGTATGTACTGTCTCTGCCTTTGAATAAATGCAATGCAAAACATATATCTTAAAACTGGTTTTATGATTTGTTCAATAAGTAATAATATACTACTAGAATACAAGAACTTGCATGAAACGCTTTCAAAGTAGAAAGGAGAGCCCAACATAATATATATAAAAATACAGAGAATTCTTTTTCTGCTTACATGAATTCTCTTAATATTAGTGCTTTATAGAACTTCAGTTACTTATTACATAACACACCATAAGAAACGATTTGTATATATATATATATATATATATATATATTAGTGCTTCAACAGCCTTAGCTACTGATCTGCGATCGTTCAAAAAAAAAAAAAAAAAAAAAAACTACTGGTCTGCGAAAAGCGTTCTTCGTCTTCCTGACTTTGCTTGGAGACGGCTATTTTCTGCATGCACGATCTCATTCACCAGATCCTTGAAAATTAGCCTTTCCTCATCCAGCACCAATTCTGAGATCTCTCCATTGACGTCTAACCCATTCTAAGACCGAATCATCACATCGTCTACAAGTATACTTTTCAAGAAGTCAACAGAGCTGGTAAATGATTCTTGTATGGTCTAAATTGTCACCCGTATGCAACAATACTTGGAGGCGTTTCTTGTATAACACGCTTTCTACTATCTAATGAAAGCCTATGCAATGATCAATCGAAACCCATCTGATGTTTCTCTATCTATATATATACACATACTTATAAGAAATTCGTCTTCTTCGTCCGCAAGTTAATGCCTCAAAGATAGCTGGTTAATTTGGTGATTAGTGCAATACAGAAACGCAAGTACATATGCATGAGACAATTATGAAGATATGAAATTTTCTTACGTATGGTGGCGAATCTGGCGACAGCCCATTTGTTCAGTAGTTACAAATCCAAGATAGCCACGTCAGCAACTCCGTGACCGTTGGAAATTTCCTCAAGTATAATGAATGGACTAAAGTTAGAACTTTTCACTTAAGCATCTCACTGATTAATGACGTGGTATTACAGGGACTTTTTAGCCAAAAAAACGAATTTCTGAACATAATTCATCGAATTAATCGGTTCTTCAGCAGAATTCAAAGATTACAATTTATATATGTTTTTTCTTGATTTCCTTACCTCTCATATAAAGTCTTTGTAGTGGGTCGAGTGTTCCCTGCAAAGACAGTACCAATCCACAATTCAACGTTAACATATATTTTCTTCTTCGACTTTTCTGGACATATAATCATTCCTTATTGATTTCTTATAACCATGAGGGTATATTCATTGAACTCAATTTAATTCCTTGTTGAGTTGTTATTGATATCAAATAGCATTGTCAAACAGGCCGTCCCGTCCCGTCCCGTACCACGGCGGGCTTGACTTCTCGCGGGTCTCTGCGGTCCTGTTCCGCGCGGACTGCGGTCTGCAGAAGGTCGGCCCAATCCCGCCCCGCAGCATTGCACAGGCTTATACGGGCCGTCCCGCGGGCCAAACGTCGAAGTAGCTACAGACTGCTCCAAGTTGTTCCACGGCGCTTCAGGGAGGTGTAAGAGCTTCAGGCTGCTCCACAACATACATGCAAGCACATTATGCATTCAACTTGCTATTCATTCTCACAAAATTTTCTATAAAAATACATTTACATTCTTTAGATTACATTAACATTCACTTCAAGTCCTTTTTTCTCCATTGATAAAGTTAGGATTACTAAATGAGGATAAAATGCATGTAGAATATAAAATGTAAAGTCTGAACCAAATTTGAAATTAGAAAAACACCAAATCAATGTACTCAAAACAAAAACAAAAAACAACTTAAAAATGAAATTTCAAATTGTAATAAAGGAAAACACCAAATCAAAATAACATTTCAAACATGCTCCTCTTCATCTTTAATCCTCATCTCCTCCATCGACAATAGATTGAAACGAAGGCAATTTCTCTTCCTCACCATCAGCAGCAATTTCTTCATCTGATAACATAAAACATATTT